GTCGCTTGCTTGCGTTTTCTTTTTTCTTTCGTTTCTCACTACCTTCCTCACAGAGGGCGCGTAACTTGTATTAAGGTGAACTTGTATCAAGATAGTCAACAGAAGGAGACCGATCGAGTGGCCAAGAATTATCCAACTCTTCACCCCCGTGTAGAACGCGCCATTATTATTTTGACGGTAGAACAAAGTTAAACATGGGCTCGATATTATTTTATCCCGCGTCGGGGCGGTTCCTGGTCGGCGGCTACTCGCCGCGAATAGACGAGAGTGCAGGATGGTGGTCGGAGATTGTTTTCGTAATCGGGAAGTAAGAATGGGGGTTGAAGGGGAATGAAGGAGAGGATCTTCTGCCGAAGGATCGCCTTGACGAGGTTATCATCGGGAAACCTTCTCGGCGCTGCATAGATCTAGAGCCGGCGCGGTCTAATATTCTCTTCGCAGGGATAAAGATGCGCATTAAGAACGAGTCGAAAGATTGGAGAGATGTAATTGTTCTCCCGAGATTCTCAATTTCGCTCGCCGAGAATCGAGAAATTCGAATTACCCTCCCTCTCTGCCCCGTCGCGGAAAAACTCCGGACACTTCTCTAATTTCGAACATTATTAAAAATGTTGAATTCCTCTCCCCCGCGATTTAAGATGCGAGGGTTGCTCCGGCAGGCCAGACAGGCTAGGAGGTGTATTAATCAGAGGAGCGGCTCCTTTTAACATTCGTTAATAGCGCATTCTGCTGTCGATGCAGCCTGCGGGAGGGCTTGATCTCGCAATAAATTGCTTTGGCGATTGCCCGATCGCGCGCATGGAATCGTAAACTCACGCATTCCTCGCCTCGGTCGGTTCGCTCGCACGGAACACGCAGACCGTCCAGCATCCGAGGGATGCTCGAGATTCGTCCGGGAACTTTCGCGTGGAAAACGGCCGACGCGAAAACGACGGAATTCGAGAAGGAGGCGCGTTTCCGCGGCTCGCCCGCCGAAGGCGGCGGCAACCGACCGCGGGATAGTTATGCGATCTGCGGTGGCGAATCCTCCCTCCGACTCCCCCGTCTCTAATCCCCGATCGCGATTCTAAACACGTTAACCACCTTGCGCGGCGGCCAACCACCCTCCGATACGATCGCGGCCGCGCCGCCGCTGATGCAACGCGCGCTGCAGCGCGCGGCGTCGAGCCGAAAGACGCACAACGCGCGGCCATTAATTGGATTCTCGGCTGGCAATCCCCGGTATGCCGCGCACCACCGCCGCGATTCCCGCAGCAACCCTTTCTCTGGTCGAGCACGCGCCAGTCGGCCACTCAATTAAACCGGCGCGATTCCGTCGCGATACACAGAGACGCTATCGATCTAGTGCACCTTTTGCTCCGCTACTCCATTTGAATTTGCCACCCGCGGACGATGGTAGTCGCGAAATGCTATCGGCAAGTATTGTCTGTTGGAGCTGTCGATGCGCTTGGGAGCGTTACGCTTGAATTGTTTGCGAATAGATGAATTTCATCTCTCTTCTTGTTGTTTTTATCGCTCTCGATCCCTTTCCCTCAACGAAAGATGCTAATCGCAGTTAAGAGGTAACGATGGTATTTTCGCAAATTCGAGGGCGCAAGTGAGTGAAGGGTGTTGAGGTTACAAATAAGCTTTGTTTGCAGTAATAATTTAAATAGAGGCGAAATTGAAAATGAGTACTTCTCGTGTTTGACCGTTTATCACTCGAGAACGTTCGTCAACGTTTTCGTTAATAAGAAGAAACACACGGTAATTCATGGCGACGAATTCGTGATTAAAATCGAGGCGTCAAAATATTTTGTGAGCGTCATCTTTAGCAAAGTGTTTGCGCGTCTCCTTCTGGTTTCTCGGTCATTGTCGCGGTCGGTCGATCAACCCCTAGGGTTTTGTGTTTCATCCACTTTCGCTATCGGAGTAATAAAAGACGGTGAACCAATCGCATTCCTACTCGCCACCCCGGCCGCGGAATTTTTCTCTGCAAAGACGAACTGCGAGGACCATTGGGAAATCAACAGTGATAATAGTGGTGGTAGTGATGGTGGTAGTAGTGACGATAAATCACTTTCGTCTAGGGATGGACAATTATCGACCGATGAATCGATATGTGACTCTTTTTTCTCTAAAATTGATTATTTATTCAATGTTTTTAAAGTAAATTATCTTCTCTATGTCGATAGTCTTTTTGCTTTGATGTTACTGGATTATATTACTACAAATCTTAGTATCTTCACCAGTCTCAAATAGGAAACATACTATAAGAATTACTCAATCAAAGTATCTTTTTAAAATAATGATCCTAAATTTACTTCATATAATGAAATGCTTAATATTATTGACCAAAAGAAGGCTACACATGAGCGAATTAGCTAATCATAGTCGAGTAATTAACCGAAAAATTCTAATGACTCTAGGCATAGTAAATTTTTAAACTAATACACTAATCTGTGTGTGTATATAGACGAATTTAAATTATATTTCCAATATAACAGATGTGTCATGTTTCGCTATATAACTTATTTGATTATTATTTACGCTCGATTAAATGATTAATAGTTTATGAAAAATATAGAAATTAATCGATTATTTTCGACATTTTATAAGAAGATTGATTGTGTAAAATCGATACTTTTGATAATCGATTATTTGGCGGACGATGCTTTTCTGGCGATACCCATTTCTATTTTCGACGCAGAATTGACGGCGGTAAGTTGCGACTTAGCGGCCGTTTGCCCTTTTTTCTTTCTTTGCTTCGTCCCATTATCTGTCTATCTTTACCCAACTCCTTCGTCCATCCTCCTCTCTCTTTTCTTCTTTCGTCCCCTCTTCTTGATGTTTACGCGACACTCATTCGACCGCGAAAGAGCTGAAATTCCATCGACAGAGCCGTTTTATGGACGCTCCCCGGGTGGATCAAAGTTTCGTCCTGGAAGTCCTATATATTCGCGCTTAAACGTTTTTCCCAGCAACAAAAGGTGCAGTCGGGTAAAGGGAGAATGGTAGAAGAAAGAAAGGAAAGAGATACTGAGTTATCCGCGGATAACGAAAGTTACGATGTAGAACGATAAATCGCACGGAGCGGAAGGTACCAGAGAGATAGGGCGACCGGAAGATAAAAATTGAATCGGCTCTGAGGCTTTTACGTTGAACTTAACCCTTTATCTGCGGCCCTCGCCGAAAGGATGTCGGTTTTTCCAACGCGAGAGTACCGTTTCTAAACCGATAAAAAACTGGCCATTTCGGCATATACCAACAAGACATTATTAATATTGACTTTAATGATAAACACTACGAAAGATATTTTGTGAGACAAACATTTTTTTTACCGCTTACAACGGGACAATAGTTAAAAACTCGAATTTTTCATTATAAGATAAATGAATAAGAAAAGATCTTACTGATAACATCAAACAGTTACGCGTCTACAAGCTAATTTATATATATATGTGTAATCTTTCTCACTGTGAAAACATCCTGCATGAAATTCTGTATAATACTACAAACCTGTTTAAAAAATCTATTACTAACATGATCAAAGGTTTCCAAACGAGTAAATCAATTCATATGTTCGTAACGTGCTCTCTTAAAATGAATCAGTGAATAGTCACTGATATCAGTTATAAGTATAGCACTGAACACTTTTAGTGCTATACTTATAACTGCAATCAGTGTATATTCACTGTTTTCAGTGATGTTTGATTGATTCATTTTAAGAGAGTAGTCAAAATGGAGAAAAGATTGACTACATTATAATTAAAGTTACTACGATACGTGAATCGTATAACAAATGGTCATTTCGTCAGTAGATGACAGAAACGAAAGGGAGAAAGAAAGAAAAAGAGAGCAGTTTGTAAAATTAATTTTACTCATTATACTTGGTGCACCTTCCTTCATTCCTCTTTCGGTTCTTCGGGGATGCGACAGGGTTGAAAAGACCAAATTCCCTTCGAGGGCAGTTTTGAACTCTGGCCAAAGACAGGAGACAGGTGTAATTATAATGGCGTAGTAGAGCGTTTCTAATTGTCGAATTCGTCGCCGGAATACCGGTACGCGAGAGCGACCGGTAACCAGAGAAGATATTTAACAGCGAATTCCCTAGCGAGGCATGCTCCCAGCGGCGTAATTACATTGTCAAATGGCAGGAACACGCGTGCATTTTCGAGCTTGTGACTGGCGCTCGCACATGCTTTTACCGATCGCGTTGTCGTGAACTTGAAACGCAGAGTATCTTACCTATATATTTGTGTGATCGAAAAATGTAAAAACACATTATTTATAATATCAATTTAATATATTAAACGTATAATCCATAGTGCACGATACCTTGCGAAACTGTATACATAGTATACGATGTAAAATTTTGTAGTAGTGCAAATGTCGATTTGGCAATTGTGTTGGAACAGCAATAATAACGTGTTTACAAGTATCTTCGTGTATCTCGAAAATTGTTGATAGTTTGAAATGTAACTGACAAGATACAACAAACTAACAGACATCTTTTACCCAATAGAGTATCACTAATATCACTAAACTCGGGAGGCATGGAGATAGATAAACATAATAACAGATATTCATTGATGTATATTGTGCATGCTCTCATATTAAATCTCTTACAATCTTTATTTTTTAAAAGAAAGAAACAACACAACAAAGTGCCAAGTGTACATCATTTCTGCCACAGATTGTGTGTGCTAAATATCTCTAGAATTTTTAAGAATAATATAATTAAATAAAGTGAAAAGCTTTAAGAGAAAATACAGACAGAATTGTCTAGGAAAGAATATTACAGTATGACCGTCGAGCATGTGAAACTTGCGTTACTATACAATGATGTAAAAAATGATTAATTAATATCGTATTAATTCCCCAATTAATTGTGTAAAAATTGAAGTTTGAAGATAATTTGACTTTTATAACGGTAATAGGGGTAAATGTCACACATTCTCAATAAAATACTGTATATAATCGCTATTAAATATATTCTTTATTAAAATCATTCGCAAGTTTGTTTATATATATTATATGTTTGTTTACATATATATATATATATATATATATATATATATATATATGTTAAAATGGTACACATAATCAGTTCTGAATATATGGTCTGAATAAACCGAATTTATATTTTCAGTTTCAAGAACAGATTTTACAGATATATCGAGAACTTCCATAAGAGAACAGTATCGCAATATACAAAATATCCTGGGTAGATCTGTTAAATCTGATTTTGAACTCGCTAAAGATAATTTTGGATTTAGTTACTTCCAACATTTAAATTTTTATAAATCGTTAAATGCATATTACGAAATAATATGCTTTCATTAAAGTCTCTATATGGTCTATTAGAAGCGAAGCCATTTTTTATTTGCAGTATAGGTTTTACAGACCTATCCAGGTTATGTTGTATTGCATTAATGTCCATTTGTAATTTATATGTTGATACACCGGTTAAAAGTAACGGACAGTTTTGCATCTGCATCGCTTTTATAGATTCCGACCATGTAACCACGCGATAAAGTTCTGCTTGAAATCCTATGATGACATTCGGTCGCCTATAGCTAGAACTAAACACATAATTATGATACAATAGAGGAAAAGAGCGAAGAATGAGTCTCTTTTTAAGTGCTTGGCAACGGGAGCAAAGTTTATATTCATCAATTTCGAACTCTAATTCTGGTCCTATCATTATAATCACTAATTCCGTCTTTCTATATAAGAGATGTAAAAAAAGCTCCCAAGCTGGAAAATTGCGTCTATCCACATAGTTTGCGGCTATAATATGAATGATGAAGGTACGCATTAACTGTAGTGAATGAAATAATCTTGCAGAGCGCAATCCATCGTATAGAGTCAGCGGATCTGATACATAATCAGTAAAGGCATAGAAATTAAATCCCTGAGTTTGATCTCTATTCCATTTTCGGTAATATCGATTACAAAAAGAATACATGTCAGTCAACGAATTATTATCTAGAAATGTATAAAATTTGGCATGTAGTGATTTATACGCCGTTTGATCAAGAAATATGATATCCATATTGACACTTAAAGCCATCTGGTAACAGTTGTATCCTTGGTGCTCATGAATTGTTGCATGTTCAGCACAATAGGAAAAGGAAAAACATATTCCACAAGTAAAAACATCCCGTCGATGACATATAAAACACGAGTTTGCGAACATAAACATCTGCTTTTCGTATGGCTCTAGTTTACGTGTCAATACCGCCTGGATTTTCAATATAAAATCATGTTGAATTTTCATCCACTCATCGGTTAAATGGCTTGCGTTCCAATACGAATATTGAGATATGATACATGATATAAGCTTACAAATGTCGAAATGGCTCGATAGGTGAGCAAGTCTATGTTCCTCAGAGCAGTAAGAGATCATATAACACGAACATGGTGTCAAGTTAACTTGGTCTGTTGATTTGCAAACATGACAAATATTTGGATGAAAAAACTGATTGTAATCAACACTTGCTTGCAATCGAAGATTTCTATTCACTCTATAGATATTAACCATGTCTATATGTCTGTATGCAATAGGTATATAAAAATAATTTATTTATAATATTCAATCAATTTCGAAATATTAAGCAAAAATCGGTATCTCTGCAAAAATAACTAGGTTCTACACCAGACGTGTCTCTCTTTTTCTCTTTCTCTTTCTCAATATCTTCAATAACTTCAGGCACCTATAAGATATCTTTCCCAATATCGATATCTATTAATAGCTGAATGTAAATTATATGGATGACACTATAGAAACAAAAATTTACAGATTAAGCTTCAACCGCTCAACACAACTTTTGCCAGATTTATAGCTCTAGCACACAGGACATGGCAACGTGGCAATGCGATAACCAATCATCGTGACGCATGTCACAGTGTTATATATCTATTATTCTCGGAAAAACAAGACGGTGATTGGTTATCACGTCTTGTATACTGGAGCCATTAGATGTATATTAGAGATGTTCGATTTTGAAATCAGTTTTTAAGAAAATTGATTTTTTCCTCACAAAAATCAATTTAAATAAATTCAATAAATAAATAAATTAAATTAATTTAAATAAATTCGATTCTGGTGCGATTTGTTTATTATAGATAATCGATTATAATGTTATAATCGATTTTCGATTTATAACAAATAGCACATTCGATTTATTGTCTAAGACTAACATTCATAATCGGATCTTATATTTAAGATCATTTTAAGCTCATCTTCAGATGTTATCGAATCGTGCGAATTCGTACGAATTGTTTCATTGGCAACGGAGATTATTTAAAGATAAACTTAAGACGATCTTATAAAAAATACAAGATTTCACCATAAATACCACCTTAAATTCCGTAAAGGCAATAATCTCTAATATTACCTGTTTTGTATTGTCGGTAGTGTCATGATCTCCGTCGAGTCTATACTATTATTACAAACTTTTTAAAACTTTTATTTTTACTTACCTTTTTTATCATTACGTTCCGTTTTTTCTACTTACCATCTTTACTGCTTTTTATTTATTTATTTACACTTTTTTATTATTTCTTTCCCAGTATGATTTTTTTATTTTTTATTTTTTATTTATTTAATTACTTAATTTCCACTTTTCAACGAAAACTATATTGTTTATAGTATCGATTAATAATGCGAAAGAATATTCATTTTATAATTCAGAAATGAGGATATTTATTAATAGGAAAATTTTAAGATATCATTTAACTGTTTCATGTACAATAATCGTTGCACATTTTCAACAAAACATGACGTCAGTGCTATTGAACATATCCTTTATTAAAATTATTTGCAAAATCACTCATAAACGAAAACTATCTTGTATATAGCGCACAGTATTAACAAAACATTAATATTATTATAACACATAAACAACACATAATAAACAATATATATCTTATTCATTTGAAAAAATATATAAAATAATACATATAATATATTATCATATAATATACTATATATAATTATAGTACATATTAATTAATATATAGTAATAGTATTATATATATATATATATAATATATGTATTATATAAATATATTTTAAATTATATATAGTATTATAATTATACCACCGCAGTTTGTGTGTGTGTGTGTGTGTGTGTGTGTGTGTGTGTGTGTGTGTGTAATTATATATTATAAGAACATTTAAAACTAATTATTGACAGTACTGTTACTTGCTTCAATCGATATGCTTAAATTCTTGTACATAACCAAATAAGTGTTAGGGAGGAATACATAACCAGTATCAAGGTCCCTATATGGCCTACATGAAACAAAATAATTTGTCATTTCAAGAACAGGTTTTATAAATGTGCCTAGAACTTGTTGTATCTTAATTATATCCCAATATGCTCGAAGTCGCGATTTAGCGGTTAAAAGTAACAGACAGTTCTGGGTCTGTATTGCTTTTAATGATTCCGACCATGACTCGCCATCAAGTTCTGCTTGAAAGCCAACAATCACATTTGGTCGCCTGTAGTCACTACTGAACGTATAATTGTGATACAACAGAGGAAAAGATTGTAAAATGAGTCTTCTGTTAGCTGCTTTGCAACGGGAGCAAACGTTGTGTTCATTATTTTCGTACTGTAATTCTGGTCCTATCATAACAATTACTATCTTCATTACTTTTTTACTTAAGAGATGTAAGAAATACTCCCAAGCTGGAAAATTGCGTCTATCCACATAGTTTGCGGCTATGATATGAATGATGAAGGTATGTGTTTCTTTCTGTAAGTGGAATAAATTTGCAATCTGCAACGCCTTGTATAGAGTCAACGGTCCCGATACGTAATCAGTAAAGGAGTAAACGTTAAAACTCCATCTGTTATATTTTCTTAGTTCTTCGTAATATTGATGACAAAATAAATTCATATCTGTAAAGGGTTTCTTCTTATTAAGAAAATTAGGGCATTTAACATATATTGCTGTCCACGGCGTTCTTTCAAGAAATATAATATCCAAGTTGAGACTTAACGCCAGATCCTTACAGGCAAATATGTGCAAAGATCTTTCTGACATGTGATCTTTACAATAGCTGATGCAAAAGCATTTTTGACAAGTAAATAAATTATGTCGTTGATGACATATAAAACATACTTTCGCGAACATGAACATCTGCACTTCGTACGTCTTCAATTGATATCCGAGTACTGCTCCACATATTTGGATCAGATTTTTCTGTTTTTCAATCCAACAATTGGCGGTTAAACGTTGTGTATTCCATTCTGGATTTTCATCTATGAACATTGCTATAACTGTACAGATATCTTCATGGTGTGATAGATGCTGCTTTCTGTGCTCCTCCGAACAATAAGAAATCATGTGACACCGTGCACATGATATCAAATTACTTTGGTCTGTCGATTTGCAAACGTGACAAACATTCGGATGGAAAAACTGATTATAATCAACGAGCGTTTGGATGCGATGATGCTGAGTTACTTCATATATTTCCATCCTGCCTTTATATTCGTAAGCAAATAAGTAGTAAGCAAATTAGTAATCAATATAGAAATAATAACCAAAACTTTACCTCAATAAAAGTCGTCAAATTCCATATCACGGAATCCACGGGTATGGATGTCTACGCAGCGATTGTACAGAGGACATTAGCAAGTATTTACGAATTATTCGATGTGTATCGAAAATTGTTTACCTACATTGTAATATAACGAACTTAAAATATCTGTTACCAATTGAATGTTACAAATAGACTCAATATAGGAGAAAAGTTATAGATAATAAGATATTTACTGACGCGTACATTCATTTCTTAAAGTAACAAATATTTCATTTTCCAAAAAAGAAATTCAATCTAAAGATGAAGCGCATACCAATTTCTTCATAAATATCAATGATTTATATAATATTAATATTAGCCAGTACAATATGAATGCCATGCTAATTCATTTATTGCTTGTGCAAAGAATTAAATAAAGATTAAATGACCGGAAGTACCGAATACTGGTCAGTGAGAACCGTAGCATCTGGTGATCATCTCTGATGAGCTAAACAATAATACAAATGTTCTCTTTATATTTCAAGAATAGGAACAGTAGGACAGGGAAGTTCGGAAAGGTTTTCAATTATTTCGTGTACGCGATAGCTGAAATATTTTCTTATTAAAACATAATTTATATAACTGTTATTTAATATATTCTTTATTAAAATAATTCGTAAATTCATTCTTAGGTCGAATTTGTCTTGTATATTGTTTATATAGTAATAAAAAAATAATTATATTATTATTTTGACTAATATAATATTTAATATAATATATATCTCATATATCTTTTTATAAATAATATCTTAAATATTATATTTTAATATGAATCATTATATATATAATATTTATAAAATAATATTATATATTAATATAATTATGTGATATAATAATATGTAATAACTAATTGTGTGTGTTTGCGCGCGCGCGCGCGCGTGTGTGTGTGTGTGTGTGTGTGTATGTGTACTGAAACTGCTTACTTTACTATGATCAGTTTGTATCATTTAAATCTTTGTAAACAACCAAATAACTGTTACGAAAAAATATGTAACCATTCTCAAAATCCCTATATGGTCTAAAAGAAACAAATTCATTTTCGGTATGAAAAATAGATTTTATAGATGTACCCAGAATCGTTTCTATCTCAATCGTATTGTAGTACGCTGTAAATTGCGATTTACTGGTTAAAAGTAGCGGACAGTTCTGTGCCTGTATCGCTCTTATAGATTCCGCCCATAACTTGCCATAACCAAGTTCTATTTGAAAACCAACAATCACATTTGGTTGTTTATAATTATAATTGCGCATATAATTGTGATACAACAGAGGAAAAGATTGAAGGATGAGTTTCTTCTTAGCTGCTTTGCAACAGCAGCAAACTTCATGTTCATAAGTTTCCAGCTGTAATGCCGATCCTACCATTACCACTGTTAGATTACACTTCTCATTTAACAGATGTAAGAAAAGCTCCCAAGCTGAAAAGCTACGTCTATCTACATAGTCCGCGTTCATGATATGAATGATGAAGGAATGCGTTACATTGTTAAGAAAATGTACATTTGCAGATTGCAACCCATAGTATACAGTCAATGGTCCCGATACATAATCAGTAAAGATGCAGATATTAAAATCTAAGCCTAGGTATCCATTTTGTTTTTTGTAGTATTGACTAAAGAATGAACTCATATCATTAAAAGGTTTCTTCTTATCAGGAAAATCAGAAAATTTGACAAGAATCTGTTCCCAATTCGTTTCTTCAAGAAGTAGAATATCTAATTCGAGACTTAACTCCAAATCAATGCAGGCAAATGCGTGGGAACAAACCTCTGATACGTGATCAAGGCAATAGTTGACGGAAATGCATTTACCACAAGTGTATAAATTGTTCCGTTGATGACATATAAAACACGTTTTTGCAAATACGAACATTTGCACTTCATACGCCTCCAATTTACGTTCCAGTGCTAACTGAACCATTTGTATAAGACTATTCTGATTTTTAATCCAATCGTTACTGTACAAACGTTGAGTGTCCCAATTTGGATCCTCATTTATAAACTTCGTTATAAGTGTACAAATATCTTCATGTTGCGGTCGATGCAGCTTTCTATGCTCTTCGGTACAGTAAGAAATCATATTACAGCGTTTACATAATATCAAATTGTTCGGCTTTGCCAATTTGCAAACGTGACAAACATTCGGATGAAAAAACTGATTATAATTAACGTGCGTTTGGTTATCATGGTACCCACTCACTTCACACATTTGTGCCTATATGTTCGCAAATAAACAACGTATGAAAATACTTTACTTGTAGTATCAATATGCGTGGAAATAATGTCCAAAATTTAAACGAAAATCGTCAAATTTTGTACCATCAGTATAGATGTCTACTCAGCGATC